AATGGGCTCAGGGTATAAAAACCAGTAATAAATTTATATATCCTACATCTTTAAAGCTAGAGTCTCCAAATTTTATATGTATACTTATATGCATTTTATACAATTTCGGTTTTGTTAAAAATTACCCCCCATCCCTAATTCACCTCCTCACCGTCACATTTGTAAATGTATGATGTGATGTATGATGTGTTTGTATATGTGTGTTTGTGTATGACTAGGTGTGTGTATGCTTATGCGTGTGTTTGTGTGTCTTGTGTAAACAGAAAGACGCGAAAAATGATTGAAATAGCAATTGCTCGAAGGGATCAGGCGATCTCGTAGTCGGGCACTCCGGACTAGAGCTTTCTTACTTGTTATACCCTAAACACATTTTCAATGGGAAATCACGGTATAAAGGTCTTGTTTAAATGTATGTACCAGGCAGAAGGAGGAATGGCAGACCCCACAAAGTATATGTATTCTTGATCAGGGCGACGTGCTGAGCCGATTTGGCCCTGTCCATCTGTCTGTCCGCCCGTCCGTCCGTCCGTATGTATGAAAGCGTTGATCTCAAAAGAGATAAGAGCTAGAGACTTGAAATTTTTTCCTCGGTCCGTGTATATCACGCGCATATTGAGTTTTTCTCTAGATATCGATAACTACTTCCGATATTTTATTGTCGATTAAAAAACTTATCGATAATATTTAATATTATTTAATTATATCTCCTACACCTTTAGAGTTAGAGTTTCAAAATTTTAATTGTAGGCTTTTATGCATTTTATATAATTTCGATTTTTTCAAAATTTACCCCCACCCCTAATTCACCCCCTCACCTTTCTTACTTGTTTTAAATTTATAACTCTTATTTGCGGTCCCTGAACGAATGTATGCGAAGCGCAGCAGCAAATAGATGAATTGCAGAGCTTGTGATGTTAGCATTTAATAGTTGCCAACTTGTTATTTTGTCTATTAATCGGTAACTAATATAATATTAAACAAAATATATATATATGTATATTAGCTGATTTGATTCATAAATAAACCAGATTTTCCGCGATTTCAAATATTTTTCTGTAATCGCACTTGAAAATAAGCCAGATCTGGCCGAAAATAAGCCAAGACGGCAACACTGACTACAGACCCTTGCTCTATGTATGAGCATCTGTATGCCTGTGTGCGAAGCTCTTGCTGCCTGTAGCAATTTTAGAGCGCCGAATTAGCATTTGGTAGATCTTTTGAACTGCACACACATATGTACATACGTTTGATTGCGTGTACGCAGGGGCCGCGGTGCTCACAAATTATGGGGTAATCATTGTAGAAGCATTCGTGTGCCTATGTGCATGTGTGTATGCATGGGACATGAGCATTGGCGTGTGCCTACACAACATAGAATTGTGTCAACGGTTATGAGTTCAAATTGCAGAATCGCGTTTATATTTAAGTACCTGATTAACTCAAGTGATTTTATTTCAATGATCGTGGGTTTGCCTATCAGAATGAATTTAAAATAAATGTAGTACCTGATTAATAGTATGCGATTTTCGATCCCTTACACCTGTGCATATATGTAAATACATATACAGGTGAAACTTACTTTTTTTTAAAAATAAGCATACATATACCGGTCAAATGGACCCATTTAAAAGGATTCATCCTTTAGATGTCATAAAAATCTTGCAAGTAAAAAATAAGATAATCTTGTACTGCGTATTATATACACGAGTATGCATGCCAAATATCAGCTCTATAGCTCTTATATCTTCTGAGATCGGTTTGCTCATACGGACGGACGGACAGACAGACGGACAGTGCACTTGTCAGATATTTTGTGGGCGCAAAACATATTGCATCCAATCCGACCCATATACATACATACATGTATATGCAGATAAGTCGAAATTCAATATACGTATGTATTTACGTCGGATTGGATGCCATATGTTTGGCGGCCACCAAATACCGAGTTCCGAACTCAACTATGAGCCATGAGCCATGAACAATTATACATATGTACCTATCCTTTTCAAATGAGAATTCCGTCCATAGTGCCGAAGAACTTGGTCTAGAAGGGCGATCCCGATTTTATCAGGCTAATGACCAAAAGCATAAATCGGGTATTGTCCAGTCCCGGTTGATCTGGAACTGTCCAAATGTGGTGAATCCACTACCCCAGTGGTCATACCTAAACATTATAGAAAATTTGTGGGCGAAATTGGGCGTGGCCATTCGGAAAAGGTCAATATCAATAAAAGTGACTTCAAAACGGCCCTATTGGAGGAATGGCCAAAAATAAGACCCCATTTAAATTTTTTGGATATCTTTACTGGTTTAGCGGGAATACGGCTTTAAAATTGTACTACACCGCAGCACGAAATAAGCTGTGATCCACTGTACATACATATGTACATATGTATGTACGTACGTGTGGATGCATGTCTATGTATGCATAAAAGAAGTGCAGAATGATTAGAATATCAGCTTGAAACACTGTTGAAAGACACAGTGGGTTTCGCAAAGAGCAGTTCCGTTACTTTTAATGTTAAATAACAGCTATGTTGTGACGTCACATTTTCAGATTGTGCTCTGTTATCTTAGCTGAAGTTTGGCGGGCGCTTCAGCAGAGATCCACCAAGTGTTCCAAAACAACCAAAATTAAGTATATATAAGCAAATTTCAATAGTAAATAGTGTAAAAATGGTCAATCACTAATTTGATTCCCATACAATAAAAAATCTAAGTATATAATGGAATGAACTTTTTTTTCGATATGATATACGATACGATCGATAGCAATGATATGGCTAAAATGGCCAATATTTTTTTAGGAATGGTTGATAAACATAGTTAACTGAGCTTTCGCCACAAATAATGTTTATTTTTTTTAATTTACGTACACATTCCAATATAGTACACGTTGAAGCTGCATCAATAAAGGCTTTTTTTGTGCTGCTCACACCCGCTGTCATGTCAGAAACATTCGGTAGAATGAAATAAATTTTTTTTATTAATTACAAAATCGATAACTGATGAGGCCTAAGAAAACATGTAATAAAAGCTAACAATGCTGCGTATCATCTATGGCCATCAATCAATGAATGAAATTAGTACATATGATGTTTTTTTTTGATGGGAAATTCATAATACGTAGTAGAACTATTTACTTTTACAACTGCCCATTTTTTTCAAATGACCAAAAACCTTTATATTGTCCGATTTGTGAATTTATATAGAATTTGTTTTTTTCCGCCCAGCTTGTTTTATTTTGTCTACTAGTTCTAAGACAGATAAGTCTCAAATTTTTTTAATTTTCATACAATTTAAAGCGCGAGCGCAGCTTGTTCTGTAATAATGACGTCTTTTTTTCAAATCAGCTGTTCGTTTTGAGTAACCTACTATCACACAATCGGCGTC